CTGTCCATACTCACATCCCAAGACCTGTTTCCTTGAATAAATATTTCTCTAATTGCTCCGGGATACCCTGATTTCTCTCACAGACATTCCATTACTCATTGCAACTGAACACTTCCGGTTGACAGCACTGCTTCACTGATAGTGATGTAGCTTTTGTATTTTTGTCCTGCATATTTTCATTTCCTCAGCCAGACAAACCTTTCAAAGAATAGGGATTAAGTCACATTTCCCGATAATCCCCAAGGGACCTCCCTTTAAATAGGTATGCCCTAGTTGCTGAGCAATAGTGGTTGAGTGATGGGTAGGGTCACCTTACAGCCAATAAGTAAACCAGTGGTCAAGGGTTACTATAAGGCTGTTATTGCAGAGCATTTGTTTAACTATGCAAAGATGTGTTGCACTTGTTTAACTGTGTAAAGTTGTGCTGCATTTGTTTATGTTGCAGAATATTTGCTTAACTATGTAAAGATGTGTTCCTTTTTAAAAATTATGTAAGGATGTACTGTTTTTACCTTACCTGCCTAAGGCACCTGATTTGTTCAAAATAAAAGGTGAACAGCCAATAGCAAGGGAGGAGCAGGACTTGCCAGCAGGGAGAATGAATAGGAGAAGGAATTTAGGCCCAACGGACAATTTTCATATCAAATGCTTATCCGAATTTGATATTGTTTGTTTTGTGTGAATCAAAAACGGTTCCCGCTAGGTTTCCTTTTGATGGGAACAAAGTGATTGTAGGGGCTGTAGCTATATGGATGTTTGCTTAACATACCGCTGCATATGCTTGGTGATCACCAAGTCTCTACTTTTCAACACATACAGCATTATGTCACTGCTTCACACTTCAACCAAGTCTTCAGGAAGCATCTGGGGTGAGAGCAGAGAGTCTGTGCTTACTCAAAACTGCATGTTCTGCCTTATTTGTCTGGAAGTGACTAATCCCAACCCTTGGGTATGCGGTGAGCAGAGATGCTGCATGTTTCAGGGGTTTGCTAACGCTCACCCGCTGAAACACATGACACACATGACATCACCAGTGAAATCCTGAAACTGTCACTCCCTCTGCCCCAAGAGCTCAGCACTGTGAGAACTGTTCCTTGTTTTGTAATAATCCTGAGTGACTAGTGACTGACTATCCCATCTCTGAAATGCTTGGCGCCAGAAGTGTTTAAGGAGGTGTTATTGTTTGATTTAGGAATAGCTACACAAACACAATGATATATCCTGTGGATGGGACATAATTCTAAAAAGAGAAACTTATTTGTATTCCACATGTATTTTATACACATAGCTTGAAGATAATTATATATCGTTTTCTTAGCATGCCCGTGTGGTGTTTGTTTGCTTGTTTATAGTGCTAGGGATAGAACTCAGAGCCTTGACTATAATAGGCAAGCACTCATCCATTGAGCTACATTCCCAGCCCTCTGCCTGTTTTGAATGTGATCATCACATTAACTCAGGTTTTTCTACTTGTGGAAACTTTTCATATTTGGGGGCATTTCAGACTATGGATTTTGCCCTGGAGATGCTTGATATATCCTGACTACTCAAACTGAATCTCAAAGTTCCTCAAACAGAATTTTAAACTCAGTTTAATGTGTTTATGTGAGTGCTCCAAAATACTGGTTGTCAGCCCTGGCTCCATATGAAAATCACACAGAGTGGTGATTTGTCACTCTGCTTTCCCTACCCTCTGACCAGTGCCTTTAAAAGATTTTGATCTAACTAACTTAGAAAGAGATTGGGCATCAGCACTTTCCAATCAAAAAATAGCTGGCTACCCCTATAACAGTCATGTCCCTATTGTACCAACAGGCAAATCATTGCTGGCTGGCTGGTACTATAGCTCACAGGACCCACAGCTAGGTACGACTCGATAACTGATCCTCACTCCCGGCCCACAACAGCCTATAGCACCTCCTGGCACTTTGAAAGCCAGCTAAAAAGGAAGAAACTTCTAGATCAGTCCCAGCAAACAGTAAGTGACTGTGGAGTTCTTGGCTCTAAATGGACACAGGCATCATCCCTGCTCCCTCAGGGCTATGGAACAATACAGAGGAAGCAGCAAGAGCCAGAGGCTGGGTAGGACCACTGTAAAGCAAGGCCCTTGCATTCATGAGTTCATATCAGCTACAGTTACCTAAACAAGAACGGGCCAGGCAATATTCCAGCATGGATGGGAGAGGGTCCCATAAAGCCTTTCTCTAGCTGAGGAGATACTGGCAGCTGATGATGGCTCTTGGAAGAGGACAAGTCACTAATGTAGCCTCTGATAGGGATTCTCATGATCTAGCATATGTGCCACAGCCATGCACATAGGAATAGCACTAACTGTGACTCAGTGGGCCATAAAAAGCAAAAGAAGACATGAAATTAGAAGGGATGCATGTGCTGAGGGCACTGAGAGGAATTAGGGGGAAATGGGATGGGCATGATACAAAATACACTGTATACATCTCTGAAATGCAAGAATAAATAAAAATACTATTGAAAATGCATTAAGACAAGAAAATGGAAGGAAACAACTTGAAGATGATCAACAGAGGAATGAAGAAGGACAAACAAGAGTAACAGAGGTGAATGTGATCAAATTATATGATAAACATTTATGAAAATGTCATAATGAAACAGATTATTTTATATGGTGAATATATGCTAATAAGAAGCTTTCTTTTATGGGATGTTAACAGATACTACTTAAGACAAGGAATTAGTTTGGAATGTTCTGGCTGTCTTTACTGTGAGACTCCTAAGAACTTTAAATAGTATGCAGAACTTTAAATGTCTGTGATATGAGTTTCCAAGGTGTGGTGATGAATATGCAAGAAGGTTAACCTACATGGGATGAGTTTTTTAGGACTTGCTTTGGAAAGTAGCCATTTATACCAGTGGTTCCCACATGCTAGCTAATGAAGGGCAGTATTAGGTATCATTTGGCAAACTTATGAAAACAATGATTCATGGGCCACACCCTAGTGGGGGAGGGGAGAACATATCATTCAAATGAACATACTGAAGTGATACTTATGCATCTTGTGTTTGGGGATAAGAGCTATGTGAATCATAATATATGAAAGCATATAATATTTGAAAGGCCAGGGTTGGGAATATAGTTAAACTGGTAGAGTACTTGCCTAGCATGCCCAAGGCCCTAGGTTCCATCCCAGCATAGACTGGGAGTGGTGGTGCACACCTGTGATCCCAACACTTAGAAAGTGGGAGCAGGAGGACCCTAAGTTTAAAGTTACCCTCAGCTATGTATTGACCCTGGCTACATCAATGCCAAGCAGCCAGGGAGGTCATTTAATAGAGCCAGATAATAGCATTTCTATGATTTGGACATGAAGTCTTCCTCAAAACGTTCCTGTTTTGGAAACCTGGGCTTCAGCATGTGGATCCAATCACTGGAAGGAAACTGGATCATAATCAGTGGACTAACCCCTTGGAAGACTGACAGGAAGATGGGGGCCTGGCTGTAGGGTGCAGTCACTGGGGGCCTGCCTTTGAAGTGTGTTTTACCTTGGCCCCTGCTGTCTGCCTCTCATCTGTCACAAGTGAACATCTCTACCTCTGCTCCACCACATGCTTCCTGCCATGACCTACAACAATGGAGCCAAGTAGCCATGTTCTAAAACTAGAATCAATTTATGTCAGGAATTCTGTGATGTAGGTTGATAACCAAGTTTTTCGCTCAGGAAAAAAAAATGCATGTACTCATATCTTTCATGAAAAACAATGCCAAGTGTTGAAGCCTGCTACTGTTAGAATGACGACTTCAGAATCTCCAAGAACAGACTGTCTTTATTACTAATTGGAAAGCAATGTGTACGATGAGCAACACTTTACTTGTTTCTTTCTTCATTTTCATCTTCTCTTACCAGAACTGATGGCCCATGGCCAATTGAACAGACTCAGTGGTGCCATCCTCCTAAGCAATTGCTCCTAGATAAAGCTCTTAACTTTCCTTCAAATGATACTGTCTCACAGCAGGAAGATGAGTGCTTCCTGGAGTGAAAACTTTAGAATACATATTAAGTCATTTCAGGGATCAAGCAAGGAACCCACTATGGTTACTGGCAACTATACATCTGTGCCATATTTTAAATTTTATTTACTTATTGATAGGATCTCATATATCCAGGCTAGCTTGCAACTTGCTATGTAGCTGTGAATGACCTTGAATTTCTGATCCTGTCTTAACTGCCTGAGTATTGGGATCATATGTTTACATCAATCATACCCAGGTTACATGGTCTGGGGATGGAAGCCAGTGACTCACGGTTGCTAACCAAGCAGTCTCCCAACAAATCTGCAACCCCAGGCCTGGACTGTATTTTTCATTTGTAGGCTATTTCACATGAATGATATTATGTCTGTAGTCACAAAGGCATTTAGGGTTAAAAAGTCATAATCACAGGCTGGAGAGATGGCTCAGAGGCTAAGAGCACCAGTTTCTCTTGCAGAGGACCTGAATTCAATTCCCAGCATACACATAGTGGTTCAGAACCGTCTAAGATGAGATCTGGTGGCATTTTCTGGTGTGCAGGCATACATGCATGTAGAACACTGTATACATAATTTAAAAAATGCATATTCACATATAACCAATAAGAACCACCACACTTTTTATGTACTAACATAGTGAAAAGTAAAAGCAAAGAATATGTCAAGGCTTTTACATTCAAAGTAAATAATTATCTACTTAGAAAAACATAGATATTATACACAAGTAAAGGCTAAACACAGATATAACTAGAGCAAGTTTTTGATGTCAAGACTTTCTACATACTAATACAGCTAGCAGCCACTGAGCAGTCTCATCACACTCAACCTTGCGACTACTATTAGGTCCACGACTCATTCTCGGAGAAACTACACAGTCTGGCTAAGTCAGCGGTGAACTAGGACTCAGATTCCAGGCTGTTTTCAAGTGGAGCCATTCACCAGCCTGTCTCACTACTGCCTGAGTCTGGGATGGCACCCCCCCACAGGGACGTTACCTCTTTGATTCGCTTGACGAGAGCGTTCTGATCAAAGGCAACCGCTTCTGCACACTGGTGCAGGTGATCCTGGTACCGTAGGCAGAGCTGCAGCACCTGCTGAGAGTCCAGCTTCCCCAGCTTGGCATTTGTCGGGGATGTCTGTCCACTCAGGAGCCCTTCAAAGGAGAGGGGGAAATGAAATGAGAATCACTGCGGATAGACTGGTGGCTAACCTAGCCGAAGTTCACAGAGGCAGGGAAAGAGACATTTAATGTTTGCATCTTCTGCTCTACGCAGATGGAAATCATTGCATCTGCCTTTTATGGAGCACGACCACTCGCTGACTACTTTTTCCATGTGCTTCTGGCCTGTGGCTTTCTTGGCCCTATTTTCCTCATGAGGGAGCCAGGACACAGAGAGGCAGTGGCTTCTGCAGTGCCCCTGGCCTATCACACCACCTCAAAGTGTGAGGAAGACATATCTCTTCTTGATTGAAAAGGATTGAAGATGCATTTACTTAATTTTAATTCCTATCGGTTACTAATATGGTTAGCTGAGAAACTGAGAAAAACTGAATTTGATACCAAAACTAAACCAAAAGCCAGACTGTCAGCTAGTGGGCCTGAGACACTGTGTCTTTTCCTAACATTTGGTTGGCTTAGCTGTAGAAATGTCAGTAAGTGCAGAAGATTATGTTCTCGACACCTTTATATTGAACCACCATGCTTTCCTGTAGGGGCATAGGTCAGGGTAAAATTAGCATTATCTACTGCAGAAGAAATAATTCAGTTACAGAGGCTATACTTGCCTATGGTCAAGAACTTAAGCCCATGGACTTTTGGTACGCGTGGTATCAAGAAAGTTCCTCCTATATATTCTCAAGGATTATTGACATTGTATCTACTGTTATTAACCTGTTAAAAGTTAAGACTGACAAAATTCTTTAGTGTTAAATTACTGCATGCTTCTCACAAAAATCTGAAATAATAGTAACCCTTCACGAATTAACATATAGCTACTTTGAGTAAATATATCAATTTTCCAAAACAAAAAAGTCAGAAGGTTTTATATTTTCACAAGTCTTTTTAATGTTTTGCTTCAAGAAAATGATGGGTCCTCTTATCTCCTTTATATGTAAGCTGCCATTTCTCTTCAGAGTTTCTGGGAAACTCTAATATACCCTTCTAAGATTGACACTGGTCTGTAAATTGTGTCCAAGTAGTATCACAAAAAAATAGCCTGATCTCAAAGCCTCCCTTACAGGGCCTTGGGGACCCTGTGACACCGGCCCTCCAGCTAGCACATTCTGATAATCCCTCATTATGCCATACTGCGCTGTTTGTACACTAGAGCACAAGGAGTATGAAGACATATGAAGCAGGGCCTGTGCTGGGCCTCCCATGCCACAGCTCATCCTGTCCCCTCCCACCATCAGCCCCCGCTGTCCTCATACACGGCAACTCAGCCCAAAGTTCTTCCCCAGCAGGATGACACACAGTGGGCCATCCGGCTATGCTGAGTGCAGGATGACACACAGTGGGCCATCCGGCTGTGCCGTGTGCAGGATGACACACAGTGGGCCATCCAGCTGTGCCGTGTGCAGGATGACACACAGTGGGCCATCCAGCTGTGCCGTGTGCAGAATGACACACAGTGGGCCATCCAGCTGTGCCGTGTGCAGGATGACACACAGTGGGCCATCCGGCTATGCTGAGTGCAGGATGACACACAGTGGGCCATCCAGCTGTGCTGTGTCAAGAATCCTCAGGCACACTATACACGCTCACATCTTCATGGGACTCAGCCCTTGGGAGGTAGGAGAAGCATGAAGATCAGAAATTCAAGTTCCTCCTCAACAATGTAACAAATCCAAGGCCAACCTGAGTCACACAGAATCATGTCAAATAAAATAAAGAATGAATTATATGCCAGGGTAGAGTTTATGCTTTAATAATTTATTTGTAAGAGGGGTTTTTCTTTTTTACCCTTTATTGCACAATTTTCAAACTATAGAAAACCAGGAAGTAAAAGAATACCCAAACACATCTAGGTTCTACCAGTCACATTTTATAATATCCAGGCCTTTTCTAAGCCAGAGAGAGAGATTAGCTGAGTGGTGGTGGTACATACCTTTAATCCCAGCACTCAGAAGAAGGGGCAGGTGGATCTTTAAGTTTGAGACTAGGCTGGTATACAGAGTAAGTTTCAGGACATCCAGGTCTACACAGCAAAACCCTGTCTCAGACTCAAAAGCCAAAAGCCAAAAAAAAAAAAAAAAAAAGAAAACAGACATCGTGGCACCTCACTCCATAAAAGATGTGTTAAATAAAGTTTCTAAATTAGTAAGGACAGGGCCACTGCCTTTAGTTTTCTAGTTGTCTTTAGCTTTAGCTTGTAACAGAGATTCACATACAGTAAATGTTTACTGAGCTAAAACCTGGTCTAATGGACTCCCTTTATTAAGTGGTAGGGTTGCAAATGGCAAACACTAGTCATATTTCTTAAGAGCATGTTGAAACTACTCTTTTTATACAAACGTGAGGAGTGGGCTCCAGGGACTGGTGAGGTAAGGATTCAGACAGATGTTAAGAGAGCTAACAAATTGCCAACCATACCCATCTCTTTATGTAAAGTGCTAAGTGGAAAAATCATGGGGGTTAAAAATTCTGTGCCCATTTTTCCAAGTCCTCGTGTTAAACATAATAAGGGTTAAAACATAAGCATAGTACAGAGCCATATGCTTATTAAATTAGGCCACTGCCAAACTGAATTTCTCAACCCTGAGAGCTTAGTTATAAAATTAGAAATTAACAGTATGATGTTGGACACATATTTTTAAAATGACAGAATCTAGAAAGTAGACTCTTATGACTTTGGCAAAAGTTACTGGGAAGGTATAATTAAGCAATATGCTATAAAAAAAAAAAAAAAAAAAAAGGAAAAGAAATCCCTCTGTGTGAGCTAAATGCTAGTGTCCTCCTCCCCAAATTGCCATTTGAAATCCTACAGGTACTCGTTTCTACCTCTCAGTAGTAGGATTATAGTTATGCACCAAGTCTGGCTGTGTGTGTGTGTGTGTGTGTGTATGTGTGTGTGTGTGTGTGTGTGTGTGTGTGTGTGTGTGTGTGTATACCTCAGTACTACCGTGTGAGTGCACATTATCTCAGTACTACTATGGAGGTCAGAGGACAACTTCTTTTATATAAACCTTTAAATTTTTCTTTAGTTTTTATTGTTTTTATTATTTCTGAGAATTTCATACAAGCATGAAATGAATTTTGATCTTCACTGCTCTCAGATCCTCATCTCATCCCCCTCCTAACTTCTTGTCCTTTTTTAAAAGTAACCCATTGCTTCCAATTAGTTCTGCTTGTGTACCTGTGGGTGTGGGTGGGATCATGCGCTGGAACCCGGTCAACTTACCAGGAACCACTCCCCTAATGAAAACCGACTCTCCCTCCTCTAGTAGCCATCAACTGGCAACAGCTCTGGAGGACAGCTTTTGGGAATTCATTTAGTGTTGTGTGTGTGTAAGTAGACTAAGTGCCTTACCCTGCTTTGCCAGTTCATCAGTCCGACTCCTCCCTTTCTAAGAATGGACCGGTAGGGCTGATGGGGCTGGGGAGGCAGCTCAGCTGGTCCTGGGCTTGTCTAGAATGCACAAAGCCCACGTCCATGCATAGATTGGGCATATCTGGCTTGACTACAATTCCAGCATCATTTTGAAAGTAAAAGCACGAAGATCAGGAGTTCAAAGTCATCCCTCTCTACACAGCAATTTGCAGCCTGGGCTATATGAAATCCTATCAGAAAAAAAAAATCAATAACTTTGAGGTGGCACTCGGTGGCAGGACATGAGAAGCTCTTCCTCCAGACAAATTTAAGTGCTTATTTGGAGATGGCATATGGACCAAAGAAACAAGAAGAGAGGATGTCCAACCAAAGTACATACAGCTTTTCCACAGGTGATCAGCAATCAAGAAATCTCCCCTCCAGTTAAGAACTTAGCATTTTATAATCTCCCTTTTCATCCAAATAACTAAGTTAAATATTCGAGTCCTCTAGCTTCTAGAAGGCTCTCCAGGCTCACAGGCTTGTTCTCTATTTGAACTCATTCAGTAGGAAATACAGACACTGAGGATACTGGCAAAGGTCTGAACTCTGGGTCAGGGAGACTTGGGATGATCCAGATTGTCACCGAGTGCTGTGCAATGGTGGAAAAGTCATCACAATCCTCCACATTCCAGCTCTTCATGACCTGGACCTTAGCGTAACTGTAAGAGTTACATGATGCTATACTCTTGATACAGATTACATACTCAACTCTCACTCTCTGCCCCAAAGTCTCCAGCTCCCAACTACTGCAGGAGTCAAATAAGCAGGGGTACAAAACCTGTCTGTAAGACTGTGATAGCGTATCGTACTATGTGTGTGTGTGTTTGCTAGGTACATCTCACTATGTACTAGCCTTATAGGAAATACCAAAAACACAATTCCACCTCCCACGGCAACCATCAGAAGAAGACAGTAAATGCAAGAAGGTTGAGAGAGAGAGAGAGAGAGAGAGAGAGAGAGAGAATGCTGGGCAGCAGTGGTGATACATGCCTTTAATAGCAGCACTTGGAGGCAGAGGCAGATGGATCTCTGAGTTCGAGGCCAGCCTGGTCTCCAGATTGAGTTACAGGACAGCCAGAGCTACACAAAGAAACTATATCAAAAACAAAAACAAACAAACAAACAAAAAAACAACCCAAACAAAAATGAACAAACAATAAACAAAAAAATAGGTGCTAAAATAAAAATAATTTTTAAAGTATAACTTAAAGAGGCATTTCTCAAAAAAAAATCTTTAAAAGGCCAGCCAATAATACATAAAAGCTATAATACATAAACAATGCCAGACATAACTTCTCATCAGGGAAATGAAAAACAAAACTACAAGATGGGCAAGGTGGTAGCACACATCTCTAAGAGGATTGCACTAAGTTCAAGGCCAGCTTGGGCTCCATAGGAGTTCCAGGCAAGCCAAGATTAAAAGAAAAGCACCTGACTTCAGACAAGAAAACAAAGCACAATGAGGTAACAATCTTCAGGCTGGCTACTGTTTAGATAACAGAAAGCAAAAGGTGTTAGGGGAGGGTTTGAAGTAGGTAGAACCTGCCTACACTTCTTTTTT